CACCCCGCCCCCCCCGTAGCCGCTCTGCGCTCCGCCCCCGCCCGTCCTCCCTGCCCTTCTCCGTCTCACACCGGCTCCGCCACCTCGCTCCGTCCTTACTCCGCCCGTTCCCCGTCTCCGCCCCAGCTCGCTCTACTGCTGCCACTGCCCCGCACCGGGCCCCACCCTAACCGCTACCGTAATCTTCATACCATAAACCCTGCATCTTCCGCGCCTCCAAGCCACTCCGCTCCGCTCCATGCCCGCCCGCCCGATCCGCTCCGCTGCTCCTCGCCCTCCCCCCTCGCTCCTCCGTCCTCCTCCCCGTCCACCGCCCGGCCCACCGCCCCTTCCCCGCCACCCTACCCCCACCCGCCAAGCCTGCGCAGCGCCAGCGGTGCTATGAAACAGGGCGGCACGTCGCGACGGCGCCGTGAGCTCTTTAACGTCGCTTGCTCGCTCTTCGCGGCGGCTCTTCGCGACGCCACTTTTAAGCGGGGCGCTACTAATTTCTCGCAATCTAAGCGCCCTTAAACGCAGCGTGGCCACCGCCGTCTCCGAGATGCATCGCCTCGGGCCAGTTTACGCTTAGCGATCGCGACACCCCGCCCTAAGCCCCACCCGCCCCCCCGGCCGTCCGCCCCGCCCCGCCCCCGCTTCTTCCTTACGTTTACTGCGAGTTCCGCGATGGAAATTGCCTTCTGAGATGAATGCACCAGGCCATAAGACGTCGCTGTTGTCTCGGTGGGAAGCCGGAGGTTTAGTAGGGAACTGTATATTTCGTGGTATGTGCTGAAATGTGTAATAACGCGGCCTTTGGGGGATTTTCTTATCTTTAAAACAGAGATCAGTATTCTGATTTGTTAAACTCGCGAACAGATTGCCGTGAGATTAGCTGAGTCGTATAACATGACTTTAAGAACGTCATTCTCTTTCATCGTGATGCATTTCTTCGAGCCTCAGTGAAAAAGCCTTCCTATTTTTTAAAGATGATTCGGCATTCAAATACAAAATGCATGTTCTTTAACGGAATATCGTCCTTGATAATTGTGATTATCTGAGTAAGTCGACACATACACAGCTAACAATTTTGTAGCGTAGTAGCAGCGAAAATAAAATAAGGGCAGAACGAGAAATTAGGGAAGAGATGAAATTTGGATAATCTTCTGTAATCTTTCCTTTTATGGTTTAATAGAAAGAATGTTCTACATGAAAGTTTCAGAGGTGAGATGTGTGAACGTGATTTCTCTACCATTTATTCGTTCTCCGGAATTAAATTATTTTTATTAATTTTTGAGCCATTCATTTGAGTTAGGAAGTTGTTTTGCGTATATTTTCATCAAATTTTACTACGTTTGTAGTAAACTTCGTTATTATTCTGTTTACTGTTATTTCAACCGATTTCTTGCATTTTAATCCCATTGTCCAATATTAAACTTTCTCGTCAATTTTTTGTTGTTTCATCTTTTCTGGAACATAGTGTTCAGTTTCCAAATAGTGCTCATTTCTTCTTGTCTTCCATTACTACTTT